TATGGTTTGCCTCCCTCTTTGTTTTATCTTGTTTTTCCTTCCCTTCTGCTATGGTCATGTGTGGACTTTCTCAAATTCTACATATGAGTAAAATCATTTGATATCTGTCTTTCTCTGACTTATTTCACTTGACATAATACCCTCCAGTTCCATCCATGTTGTTGCACATGACAGGGTTTCATTCTTTTTCATTGCTGCATAATACTCCGTTGTATGTGTGCGTGCGCATATGGGTGTGTGTGTGTGTACACACCACATCTTTATCCATTCATCATTTGATGGATATTTGGGCTCTTTCCATAAATAATCTGGCTACTGTTGATAGTGCTGCTATAAACATTGGGATGCATATGCCCCTTCAAATCTGTATTTTTGTATATTTTGGATAAATTTCTAGCAGTGCAATTGCTGAGTTCTAAGGTAGTCCTATTTTTAATTTTCTGAGGATCCTCTACACTGTTTTCCAGAGTGACTGTACCAGTTTGCATTCCCTCCAACAGTGCAAAAGATTCCTCACCAACATCTGTTGTTTCCTGAGTTGTTTAGCCACTTTGACAGGTGTGAGGTGTTACCTCATTGTAGTTTTGATTTGTACTTCCCTGATGATGAGTGATGTTGAGCATCTTTTCATGTGTCTGTTAGCCATCTGGATGTCCTCTTTGGAAAAGGGTCTATTCATGTCTTCTGTCCATTTCTTCACTGGATTATTTGTTTTTTGGGTGTTGAGTTTTTTGAGTTCTTTATAGATTTTGGATACTAACCCTTTAATCGTTATGGCATCTGCAAATCTCTTCTCCCATTCCATTGGTTGCCTTTTATTTATTTATTTTTAATGTTTATTTATTTTTGAGAGAGAGGAGAGGGGGGATGGGGATCCAAAGCAGGCTCTGTGCTGACAGCAGAGAGCCGGATGCAGGGGTCAAACTCACAAACCACAAGATGATGACCTGAGCTGAAGTCAGAAACTTAACCAGCCGAGTCACCAGGCACCTCTCTGTTGGGTCCTTTTAGTTTTATCGATTGTTCCTTTGCTGTGCAGCAGTGAGGTCCCAATAGTTCATTTTTGCTTTTATTTTCCTTGCCTCTGGAGACACGTCAAGTAAGAAGCTGCTGCGGCCAAGGTCACAGAGGTTGCGGCCTGTTTCTCCTGTAGGATTTTGATGGTTTCCTGTCTCACATTTAGGTCTTTCATCCATTTTGAGTTTGTTTTTGTGTCTGGTGTAAGAAAATAGTCCAGGTTCTTTCTTCTGCATGTCGCAATCCAGTTTTCCCAATACCATTTGCTGAAAAGACTTTATTCCATTGGATATCCTTTCCTGCTTTGTCAAAGATTAGCTGGCCATACATTTGTGGGTCCATTTCTGGGTTCTCATTTCTGTTCCATTGATCTATGTATCTGGTTTTGTGCCAGTACCATACTGTCTTGATGATTACAAACTTTATAATACAGCTTGAAGTCTGGGATTGTAACGCCTCCAGCTTTGGTTTTCTTTTACAACATTACTTTGGCTATTCAAGGATCATTTGTGGTACCACACAAATTTTAGGATTATTTGTTCTAACTCTGTGAAGAATGCTGGTGTCATTTTGATAGGGATTGTGTTGAATGTGTAGATACTTTGGGTAGTATCAACATTTTAACAATATTTGTTTTCCAATCCATAAGCATGGAATGTTTTTCCATTTCTTTGTGTCTTCTTCAATTTCTTTCATTAGCTTTCTATGGTTTTCAGCATAGAGATCTTTTATCTCATATAAAGTTGATTTTAAAATAAGTATTTCAGGGGCGCCTGGGTGGCTTAGTCGGTTGAGCGTCCGACTTTCGCTTAGGTCATGATCTCATGGTTCGTGGGTTCGAGCCCCGCGTTGGGCTCTGTGCTGACTGCCAGCTCAGAGCCTGGAGCCTGTTTCAGTCTGTGACTCCCTCTCTCTCTGACCCTCCCCTGATCACGCTGTCTTTCTCTCTCTCTCTCTCCTAGAAATAAATAAAAATATTTAAAAAAAAAAAAAAGAAGAAGTATTTCAGTGTTCTTACAGATCTTTTTTTATTTTAGTTTTTTGGTCAGAGACACAAACAAAGTTTAGCTCAATGGCTTTCAAGTATCTTTATGCACACAGCACACCCAAGTAATGTACCTGGAATCTTAAATTTA